GGGTAGACAGACAAGCTGTACACTCCCATGCTATGTTGCTCAGAGATGCACATGTGCTTGAGGACTGCTTTTGTCTATATATACCGTCCTCCCCAACGTGTACTGAAGAGCTCCATAGCACGGAAGCGAAACGAAAGACTGACAATATCGTTATCGTCTACACGCACCTTTTTGCACCAAACTCTTCCTACTCCCACTACTCTTTCGCCCCACGAAAATCCTCCCTGGCTTTGAAGCATAGTAAGGCTGCCCTAATTTAACCCTAACACTAACTCAGTCATGTGACTGTGGCTTGAGGGTGGCAGCTCACGTGTTGTAGCAACACATAACTAGGCTGGTAACGTGACTAGACTTGACGTGGCGTTGCGTTAAGGGTAACACAACTCCAACTTCTAAAATAGGCATATTTACCCTTTTGGGTGTCGGTGACCATATTAGGAAATGTTTTCATAATTGGAAATATGACTATTTTGGGTAAGCCCGCCTTATTTATTCCAATTAGGTTAATCACGGACATCATGGAAGGATGTGTGTCATGTGCCAAGCATATGACTGCATATACACGATGTTAGTGGGTAGTCAAATGGGTGTTTGCCCTACCACAACACCTCTGGACATGCAGCATGCACGAACAAGGAGGAATTTTCATTCCATTATGACTCGGGTTCCATCTTGCCCTTCGACTGATTTTACACTACTTGATCAGGACTCTGCTCCGTTCCGTCCTATTTATAGGTCCGCCTTTCATCCAGCCCATACCTCGCTTAGAATACGAGGTCACCCACCGTACGAAAATAATTCCCTCACACCCACTCAAGTGCGGCGAAGGAATTAGGCCGCTATTATGACTTGTTGGTATTACAGATACACCTCTGTACGCTGAGTGGCACACCTCCCTCTCTGAAGAACCGTGCGGAAGACATGAGGTTTCAAGTTACAGGAACACACTTAGTTAGCTGAATATGAGACCACTCACACCGATAGGGAGCTGTGCTGATAATGGTTACGGACCATTTCTCGCCATCGTCCTGCAGTGAAACCTTGCTTGATTGCCTGTCACAATCCCCTCCTGCTCTCATTGTGAGTTGCTTATTGGGCCGCTCCACACCACCACCCCCAGCCTAATTGGACAGGGTGGACAGACAAGTTGTACACACCCTCCAGGTGTGTATAGGTGCCCGACGGCAGATTTGTCTATAAGTATCCCCCATCCGGAACGTGTACTGAATAGCTCCATAGCACGGAAGCGAAACGAACGACCAGCATACTACTCTCATCTATCGTCTACAAGTACCTCTTTGCACTAAACCTTTCCTACTCCCATTACTCTTTCGCTCCGCGAAAATTCTCCCTGACTTGACAGCATAGTGAGGCTACCCGGACCCTGACCTAGCCCTGACCATGGCCTAACCATAACCCGAACCCCTAACCCTAACATGCTAGGTGGCTAGGCAGGTATGGCTGGATATTATGTGCTTGTAGCGCAATTGTGGCATCGTGGCATGTAGCTTAGGTTACATGTGATGGCATTGTGGCAGTGTCATGTGATTGTGGCTTATAACACATGACTTGTAGCGGGGCTGTGGCTTAATCACATGACTGTGGCTTGAGGGTGGTGGGTCATGTGTTGTGATAATATGTGACTAGGCTGGTAAAGTAACTAGGCTTGATGTGGCGTTCTGTAAAGAGTAACGCTACCCTGACTTCCGAAACAGGCATACCTACCCTTTTGGGTATCTGTGACCATATTAGGAAATGTTTCCATAATAGGAAATATTACTGTTTTAGGTAAGCCCACCTTATTTATCCCAATTAGGTTAAATCACCAACATCCCAGAAGGATGTGCATGACTGCCTATGTATGATGTTGGGGGGTAGTCAGATAGGTGTTTGCCCCATTATAACACCCCTGAATGTGCAGCATGTACAAACAAGGAAGAATTTTCGCTCTGTCATGGCCCAGGTCCAGTCCCACACTTCAGTTTATTTTACACTACTTGAGCGGGTATCCACTCCACTTCATTCTGTTTTTAGGTCTGCCATCGTTCCAGTCCAAACCTCACTTGAAATACGAGGTTGCTGACCATACGAAAATATTTCCCTCACATCCACTCGAGTGTGGCGAAGGAATTAGGCCACCATTATGAGTCTTTTGCATCACAGACACACCTCCGTACGCTGTGCGGCACACCTCCCTCTCCGATGCAGTGCATAGAAGACATCAGTTGGCAAGTTATCAGAACACACTTGGTTAGCTGGATATGAGACCACTCACACCGATAGGGAGCTGTGCTGATAATGGTTATGGACCATTTCTCGCCATCGTCCTGCAGTGAAACCTTGCATGATTGCCTGTCGCGATCCCCTCCTGCTCTCATTGTGAGTTGCTTGTTGGGCCACTCCACACCACCACCCCCAGCCTAATTGGACAGGTTGGACAGACAAGCTGTACATACCCTCCGGGTATGTATAGGTGCCTGACTGCAGATTTGTCTATAAGGATCCCCTGTCCCCAACATGTACTGAAGAGCTCCGTAGCATAGAAGTGAAACAAACGACTGGCATACACCCCTCATCCATCGTCTACATGTACCTCTTTGCACCAAACTCTTCCTACTCCTACTACTCTTTCGCCCCATGAAAATCCTCCCTGGCTTTAAAGTATAGTGAGGCTGCCCTAATCCTAACCCTCTCTCAGAGTTCTAGACTCTTCTAGATATTTCAGGGTGGATGTGAATGTATTGGTCTCTTACTGAGATCCTTTACCATTCGATTCCATCTCTTTATGCAAAAACATCCCCTTACTTACAGCTCATGCCAAAGATATCACAATTTTGAAGCCTAGTAACCTTCTAGGTAGTTGACAGATTTACTCCGCTCCATATCTCAGACCTAGCCAAAGGTCCCCTCTCATATATCCTGTGAATAGGGTCCAGTCACATGGATGGTGGCAAAGTAGACGATATTATTCTGACACCTTCAATTCTGTAGTATTATTGTCACAGGACGCAACTGAGATTGATATGTACGATAATGTGCGGTCCCTGTAAGGGGGCAGGAGAGGAGTGTTGGAGACCAGGGATTTCAATTCCAGGTGAGGTTACCCTACTTAGAATGACTCCTAGGTATCGAATCCCAGTATTCCTAACAGCTCTAGTAACTACCTTTTGAACTGTAGCCTTGCAGACCCCAATAGCCTTTGCTATTTTATTATACCCCATATCTGTATGCTTATACAGGGCATAAATTTCCTTATTCCGATTTTCTTTTGCTCGGGTAGAGTGAGGGGGAGCCATAGTTGCCGGTGGGATGAGGGGGTGATGGTGTTGCGTGGTTGCCAGACAGGGGTATAATTATTAAACAGACATGACTGTACCTTTGACCTGCCGTACTCTTAGTTAAGATCCTCGCATGTGGTCTGGAATCTAGAACCATACAATTGCAAAGATGCCCGCCGTGAAGAGTGCTGCGGTTGCTATCCCCAGAGATGCTGAATATACCCTGGCCTGTCACTTTTTTACGCCCTTTAAGCCAAAACACAGAACTGCACTTATATATTATGCCATTGCTTGGAATTACACATTCGAATTCGGGAGCAATCCTTTGACGTTTATATCGTGGATCTCGGGATTACATCAGGCTCCATGGTTTGAGGTTGTCCCAAGACAAGGAGCGTCGTGAATTCTACTTTCCAAACTGGATTTGTATCATATCATACCTTGGAAATAGCAATCCTAGAGTATATTTGTATCATACGTGCCAGCCTACCTTTGTCATCAAGACGTAAGGCGCTCCTAGGTTTATCTAGCCCCCTACTCGACCTGGGCCCTAAGGGTCTGCGATACACGTTTTCGAATTTGGATTTTTTGAAGCAAGGGTCTACGGGAAATAATGTCCGTGCCGAGTGCTGAACCCGCTCACGCGGCACAGTCTTCCGGCAACCAGTGCCAGAGCTAGACATCCAGCGTGAGGGAAACATCAGTAAGACTCGCGCCCGCCGCCGCTCTCCCAGTTTGCAAATATTATCGCGTCCCTCAATCCGCATCCATCGCTCTTTTGTTTTTTTAGTTCCCCAGAATTATTCCGAGAGTGAGTAGTTCAAGCGCAGCAATTCTCACCTCCCAGACCATCCTATCATACTTTTGCCAGAGCTCCGGGATCAGCCTATCATAGGGCATTGGGCGCGCTGAGGGTGTTGCAAAATCAAAACCCGATTTTGGAGCACGAGTTTCCCCCAGCCGGGGGGATAGCCTCTCGTTCGAATCTCCGTTGTTCATACCTGGCTGCCGGTACCCCCGGATGGGATCTCACTCTCATGGTTTTACTCTATTCGTGTTCTCTTTCTTCCGGGCGTCGTACAACTCCGCACAGTCAAGTTAAACAGGTGGAAAGCGAGATCCAGCCCCAGGTGAGCATTCATGAACCGCTGAACTAGCATCAATTCCGAGTGAGAAGGGATGACGGGAACCCGACTTCTCATCCCATGGGCCTGGGATACAGCGTAATTATTTAGATATCATCACTTATCTGCTGCCATGGACGCAATTTCTATGTTAGGGCATAATATTTATAGACAGGAAATTGCGATCCCACTAGTATGTACTCCGAAATGCTAACTGATAACGACGGTGGCTATTTTTGGTATCATACTACCCCCCCCCTCATCAAACGGAGATTGCAAATATGTACAGCGTAACTTGCATCCAAGACCAAAAGTCGGGTGGTGAACGATAATAATATTCACATGCATTTACCCCACCCACCGCTCTGCTCCCCTCCATTCCACCTCATCCCATCTGATCTATCAACCTTGCGTCGAAGATTTACATGAAGGGAAGAAATAAAGCTTGTAGTTTGTAAAAAAATTAAGTGAAAAGTAGGAAGCGTTAAAAAAAAAAAATCGGGCTCCAGACCCCAGACTCAGATTAGCATTTGAGAGAAAGGTTGAGCTAGAGTGGCCTTCCTCCATCCATCCATATATACCCTTGTGCATACGAAATTTAAACAGAATCAAACCTCAATAAAGTCCTGACAAACGGATTCTCATGCCCGGCCGCGGTGATGCTCGGTTCCCCATCAATATCAACCATACTGATGCTCCCTACGGTGTTCAAGTTGAGCAAGCTTAGCTCGCTATTCCCCTCCACTGAGACGATGGAGTCCTGGCAGGTATGCGACTTCACGCACTCCTGGGAATAGTTTTCAAAAAACGAGTACAAGCCGGCGCCGTAGACGAGTATGCCCGTGGAACCGACGACGCGGAGGGCCCAGGACTTGCACGTCTCCGCCGTGCAGCCGGAGTATATCGGGTCGTTGAAAGCGGGGTTTACAGGGAAGGGTGCGGTGACCATGGGGTTGCTCTCCCAGTACGGAGTCTCCGTCTGTATCATTGCCATGAAGATGTTCTTCGTCTGGTGCAGCTGGTACTGGTATAGGACGTTGTGCTCAGCAGCGGTGCTGTAGAACCACACGGGGCCCTCGGTGGTCTCAGTCAGGATTCCACGGCCGTTGTAAATGGATATCTGTCCAAAGTCCGGCCCATCGAGGTTGTGGTCACTCGTCCAGGCCCAGATGTTCTCCATGTAGAGACTGGCTGTCTTCTTGATGTGCAGGTGCATGAAAGCGCTGAAGCACCTTGGGTCAGCAGTGTTGCTCTGCTCGGGCTTTTTTGCGCATTCCGGGGGCGCGAGGTCAGTGCCCATTGACCCTCCAACGCGGAAGTGCACGTCCCAAAGGCCGTTGACGCCTTGCTTCCCGGTGGGGTCGCGGGAGTTCCATTCCATGAGGATAGCGCCAGGTTGCGGGCCCTTGGTTTCAAAAATAAGTTCGGAAATCTCAACGACGCCTGTGTCACCCTCCTTCCCAACCTTGAAAACGGGGGCGGGGTTGTTGACGTCCTTAAAGCCGTTGCCGCTCGCAAGAATCAACGGCCACGCTTCTCCCACAATGCGGGTGTTCATGGGCACATTGACAGTCTCGGAGATGATGTATGCGCCGTGGTCGAAGTAGATGACTTTTCCTGCGTTGTGGTCAAGGATGGACTGGATTGCAGCGGTGTCATCCGTGGCTCCGTCGCCCTTGGCACCCCTACTCTTCACAGATACGAACTGGGAGACGTCGAGATCTTGGTATTGTGGACGGGAGCGCTCAAAGATTGTCTTCTGTCCCTTGGTGAGGAGGGGAGTTGGTTTGGGGAATGCGCGATTTATGTTGCCTTGTACGGTACTCCCGCCCGTATTGCTTTTGGAGTGGTCCTTTCCTTGCCCCCACATGTCGATCGTGAGTGATCCTCCGGCGAGGATGGTGGCGCCGGTGACGGGGTTGGCAACAGCCTTCTCGACGTTGGTGAGCCGGACGTTATCAAGGATGAGAGTTCCGCCCGAGGCGAAGCCGCTAGAATGACTGCGGACGGTAGCAACACCGATAGGAGTATCCGCGATCGACGAGTCTAGAAGAATGACAGAACTGACAGCCTGTTCGGCCGGCCCATTGGCAGTAATATCGAGACCAACCTTGCAGTTGCGGATGCTGACGGACTTGAAAGTCCATGCCCAATTCCAGTTCACGTAGATCGCGGTCCCGCAGTTGTTGAATTTGAGATTCCTGGTCAAGAACTGCTGGTTGCCAAAGAACGCTCCGAACTTGCCTCCGTGGAAGGTCAAGTCTGACATGAAACCTCCGGAACCATTGTCCATGAAGATACCCTGATGGGAGTTTCCCTCTTCCTGGGACATCTCGAAGCGCAGGTTAATAAGCGAGGTTGCCTGCGCCACTTGCCAATGCATGCCAGTACCGGCGCCCAAGGGCATGGCCGTAGTGTCGATAACCAAGTTCCTGACCGAACGGAAGAAGTTGTTCTGATTAGTGTACCAGTTGCTGTCACCAGATTAGCTGCATTCTCGTATCAGGAATTTCGGGAAGACTTACCTTCCGTCAGGCTCATAAGGATCGGAATCGATGATACCAATGCCTTGGAAGCTTGGAGCACCCTTTATGGTTGGCATATTCAATGGGTCACCAACCAGCTGCGAGTAGTACATTGCAACCACAGGTTTTGTCACAAGGTAGGTTCCAGCCGGGAAGTATACAAGCGCGGGAGTGACAGTCGATGAATCGCAACCCTTTCCGCAACGTCCGCCATCAGCGATAGCATTATTGATAGCGACAGTATCATCAGTAGTTCCGTCACCTATAATACCATTGTTAATCACATTCTGTCCAGGTATACATTATACCATAATCTAGAGTAAGTTAAGGCGTCCACACACCTTTAGCGCCATAATCCTTTACGTTACGAAAAACTTTATACCCAGCAGGGTTTGTGTTGAAAGCCGCAGCACCGCGATGAGTGATCGCTGACAACCAGAAGGTCCTAGCGGTGGATACGGTTTTATTCTCGGCGCCGGTATCCAGGCGTATGTCTACATTGTGCAAGTCGTGGATTTCTCTGTCGAATTCGTGTCGTCCGAGACCGTGACGGCGAGCAGACCACGCAGAAGTGAGAGGGAGTACAAGTATGAGCACTGAAACAAGTTTGGTCTGAATACCCCATCGTAATCGGTGTTAGTTGCTTCCGGTATCAGAGAGCCAATAAAAGGAGGATATCGGAAGAAGCTTACCAGTGAGCCCCGTGCACCTGTCATCTTGACAAGTGCAAATCCACTAGTCCGAATGGTTGTGAGCACCTGGTAGAACCAAAGAGTCCGATATCGGCCAAAAATGGGAGGATACAAGTGGAATTTATAGGAGAACTAAATGGCACGAATCTACGTGGGTGGTACAAAATTCGAGGAAGGCTGGCTAAGATAGTAAATAATAAGGAACTGAACAGAGGAAACGGAAAACCCCAATCCAAGGGAGTACCCCTCCTAGGTAAAATGGGAAAATATGGAATGAATGTGATCAGAGAGTATGATTGAGGCTATGGAAATGGGAAGCAGGGGAACGTAAGAGTGGGTTTATAGAGACAAGCAATGTTTGAGTAAACCGGGGAATTGGTGAGGATGTCGATTCATAGGGGATTTGGGAGTAGCAAGGGACAAGGGACAAGTAGAGGGAAGGGAAGGAGTGTACTCGAGTATCGGTGGGGGCGGGAAGCCAGCTACGGTAGTCCAATGGGAGGAGCTATCAGAGCGGGGCCCAGCTATGGGCAATAGTGCTTGTGGGGGGATCACGTGTAGCAGGGGATTTTTTATATGTTGTTTTTTGTTGTTTTTGACGGAGATTTAGTGCAAAACACGCCCCGGATACCGCAACCTCAAGGGCTGGAAGAGTTTGGTTCAGGAATTTGGTGAGGACATTTGGTGTGTTGCCATCATCATCCCAGGCAAGAATGTAAGATAGTTTGGCATTCCTTCCTCCTTCGGCGAAAAATTTAAATCATGCTATGATATATCAATTCCCTTGGCACGAACCTTGGCTATAATTCCTAGGGCTACCGGCAGTGCCCTCCTTACAGTTGTATACCAACTTCAATCCCTTCCTATGATGCTGAGACCGGTAAGAGCATCCCTTTCAACAGCCTAGGAGATCCGATAATCCGATGTAATTCCAATGCATCCGTCTTTAATGCTCTCTCCTTTCACATGCAATTGTCCCGGGCGGTCAGCGAGAAGAGTTAGGAATGAATTTACCGTGCCCGTACTGTCCTGGGCATTCAAAATCCCAATCGAATGATAACAGGAAAGACAAAATGGAGACAGGGAGGAAAATAGCTGTAATGCGTTCCCTGCCACAGCAGGCTCAGTCCAAGGGTCAAGATCTCGGTTGACACTCCCCAACGGGAATGGCCCCGCCTGCCTCTCCCGAGAATTCCGGCAACGGGAACTGATCTGGGAGGAACTGGACTTTAACCTGAGAGAAGTAGCGATCGCCGGTCCTCGATCTGCACGCTAGGCGAGGACTTGTGTTACGGGTCCCAAATACCTGGACACCCGGGTACAGTTCAGCACGGTGCACTCGGCACGCCCCAAGTTGATTGCTTTCTCCCCCTTTTCTGGGGCACGAAATCAACTAGACTAAAACAAAAGCTAATTCACAACCACCACATCCTTGGGAAGATATAGCTGGATGGAAGTATTTAGAAGGCACCCCTCTCAAATTCTATCTTTTCTAATTCTCAATCAGAGCATCATTAGTGGAGACAGTAAGATCTCAAATTATTCCCATGCGCTGTCGCTTTGGAAGTCACTTTTGCCAAGCCCGACCAACTTGTGTGTATCGTGTAAGCAACATGAATTACCCAAGAGAGTTATTCCCCGCGGCCTGCTGTAGTCTACTACGGTAGTATGATACAGTACGGTACTCGTACCCTAGCAGCGACCGGTTAGAGCGGATGTATAGGGCAAGGCGAGTGTACCATTTGTGCCATTAAAATTTTAAACCGCAAAAATTTTCGGAGTGAGGGAAATTGGATGGATAACACTTGTAGTTTTGGGGTCCATGCCAAATAACTGTCAGAGGAACCTGGGGTCCTGAAAAATGGAACGGGACCTTGACAACCATCATACTGTACGAGTACTGTCGTGGGAAATTTCTAATTCAGGTCTTTTCTGGTTTGAATAACTTTTGTTGTATCGAGGTGAAGGTTTCTAGGGTTTTGTTATGATGGATGGCATCGTTTGGGGGTTGAGAGAGAAAATTTGCTTGTTGTACTTAGGGGATTTCTCCCCTCTTTCCCTCTTTCTTCTCCATAGAGTTTTCAACCACGTACGAACCCACAAAAGAAAACAAGTCTGAACAACAAAATCCGAACGCTATCGAAACAAATATATGAGTTAAGTTGGAGTGAATTTAAACAACTCTACGATTTTAGACACAGGAATAAGCTGAAGGACTGTGCTGTTCCAACCTATCGTGGATCCTTGTTTGATTTTATGCCTTTTTGTTTTCATCTGTCCACTGCTCTATCCAAATCCTCTTCGAACCAACTACGACTACCTTTTACTGATCCGACCGAATATTATTCTTTCAGTACTACTGTACACACTTGCCTTGCCGTAGTACTAGTACCGGTATGACACCAATCCCTGTTGTCCCGGCGAAGCGAGGCTTCTCATCCCAGAATCATCCTGGCCGAGCTGACAAGACTATTATAGTACGGTAGGTCGCTGCCCCTCCCCAAGAGAGCACCAAAAGGGATCCACCGCAACCATCAAGAAAGAGAACTGAAGAGATAAACTGTTGCTGTTTTGCCTCGTGGATTGCTATTGCTAGTGCATTTTTGCACTTGTTTCTCACTACCAATGCTGATGAGACCCCTGCCAACTTTAGCAATATCAACCTTCCCTACTGGAGTCCCTAACCCAGGTGTACGAGAATGACCACGCCAGCATCAGTCTTCGTCCCGCATCATCTACGGTCAGAGCGCGCCATGCACTTTACAATAATGTGGAGAAGAGGGTGAACAAAACTTTCCCTAGCCAACTCCAGAGCTTGATTATTGCCTGAATCCTTTTGCTCCCTTCATGGCCGTATCTCCTTGTCTCATCGACACGCGACATACCACCTACCACCCCGAGATATAAACCCGAGCCGGGTGAGCGTGGGAGATGCACTTATTTCCCAACCAAGTCCTCCCGCCGCTGTTCCAACCCTACTTAGCCCGGACCGGCCAGATTCCTGCCCCTATACGTGTTGAGGATGTAGCTTGGATGAAGAAAAAAACTGTTTTACAGAGCAGTACTGTACAGTGCTCGAGTGCTAGAACCAGTACGTTCTTGCTGTTGCTACCATACTCCACATCTAGATTCCGAGGACTCTAGGCGAGGGGTCTCACATGCCCATGCGCTCATCGAAAATCAAAATTAGCTATGCTTGTCGATGATTTTTCCGGGAATCGTGCGGCACCCTACTATGATCCCGAGCTTGCCGTGTGCAGTCTACCCGAGACTTCCCGGACCTGGTTTTCCCGGACCACAGCGGGGCGACACAATGGTTCCACAGTACAGTAATATATTGCGGCCGGTGAAAGGCACATCGCCAGGATAAACTTTTGTCAATCGGCCAAGAAATGTAAAATCTTCAAGCGCCTCAACACCCGTTGATAAACCAACCAAATGGACAGAAAACTTTCAGCTTTATGGCGGCAGGTTTTCTATCACCGGAGGTGAGCGGGTGAAAACAGTAGTCACGCCACTAGTGTGCAGTGCTGAAGTACTTGATGTGGGTGTCAAGAATTCTTCCACTATCCTCTCCCACCCATCTCACCCATATTGGACATCCTAACCTCGATGGTTGTAGTGATGGCAAGTAATTTCCCTTGAGTCCTTTGTGCGCAGTGCACTCAGACCTGTTGGCACAGCGTCGCCACCGAAGAACATGACAGGTGCAATCACGAGTATTGAAAACCTTTCAAGCCAACAGCATCCCGCACTCTCGAAGACGGCTAACAAGCCCACCTTTCTTTTGCAGCGTTAGTCTCTTGTTAATTTATTTTGTTAAACCAGCAGTAGAATTACATCCTTAACCAGAAGGTCTCATCACGTGCTAAGATGAACCTCTTGGAACCACAGTACTCTACACATCTGAGATCTGATCCAGCCAGGTGAGATTCCCAAGTTTATTACTTGCGAAGAGAACGGTACCTTCCACCGTATTCCGAGTCCGGCGCCGCTATTGAATATCATGAAAAGCTTGTTTGGAGGATACCTACTGTACTTGCATTAGGGGGGTTGACAATAGTTGGGCGCACTCCCGAAGGAGAAGCGGACATTTCATGTAGAGCAACCAGATTAGAAGTTCCGAGTGACATCCTCTGAAGATATTTAAACCAATGCGATTCTTTTGCTTCTTCCCCCTCCCCGCCTTAGCGATGCATGTCGTTCTACAGAGAGAGCGGGGCGTTCAGCCCTGCTAGCATACCTACCTGAAAGTGGAGGGTACTGATATCAATTCCTAATCTCCAGGGGCGGGCATCATTGCGCCATAGTTGCTGTGGGTCGGAGCCCACCGCATCCGCTAGTGGTCGTTCATCCACGAAAGGACCACAGTGGCCACTCTTTTCGAGAAACACATTATTCCTAGATCCAATGGAAATCACGCGAATGGAAGGCACATTTGCTAACCTAATCCTCAAGCAGATGCCCTTGGCCATTGTATACGTACTTATTATTCCACCATTGGTATCTGAGAATGTACCCAAGGTGCAGGTTCAAATAGGATTCCAATCCTGACTCCGGAGAAACGTACATTTCGGGTATCTTGGGCGGCGGATACATTGCTGCAGGGGCCTAGTGAGTGCCTGCACGGATCAGAGTGCGCGGATATGTTTCGTCCACCGAAGCGGCGATGCGGCCTCTACCGCCGCGTCGATTTTGACAAACCTAAGACTAACGGCTTGCCCCCCGAACCGGGGTGGGGGGATATGTAGGCTTAGAGTGAGATTCCATGATATGTGTTTGTAGCTGGCAATTCATCGCGATCCACACTGCTGGCTTGAGTTGAAGGAGCACGTTTTAATGAGGTGTTATCCAACCTACAGTGTAGGCAGCCATGCACCAGGGATTGTACTTTATTTCCACCTCGCCGATATACCACCCTCATGCAAACACCCAACCTAAAACACCCCCAGAGCCTCTCACCCCAGCATTATCGAGAAGCATTATAACATCTCTGAAAGCTCTGAGAAGGTTTACCATTGTTA